GACTGGCCAAATCAAGGAGCTCTTGTTGTGAAAGATCTGTCTCTGAAATATTTGAAAGGAGGAGCTTGTGTCTTAGATGACATCAACTTTGAAGTGAAATCTCACGAAAGGGTGGGGATTGCTGGTCGAACTGGAGCTGGAAAATCTTCTTTGGTAGCTGCATTGTTTCGCATGCCCGACCCTCAAGGATATGTGATCATTGATGGTGTAGATCTTCGTACCTTGAACATCCAAGCTGCTCGACGATCCATCGCCGTCATTTCTCAGAACCCGATTCTTTTCAGTGGAAGTCTCAAACACAGTCTCGATCCGTTTCATCATTTTGCCGAGGAGGAGATTTGGGCAGCACTGGATGTGGTACAAATGAAAGAACGTGTCCGTAAATTGCAAGGTCTTCTAGAATACTCCATCGGTGATAGTGGATCAGGGTTTAGTGTTGGCGAGACGCAGTTGCTTTGTCTTGCTCGAGCAATCCTTCAAAGATGCAAAGTTCTTGTGTTGGATGAAGCAACAGCCAACGTGGATTACAAAACCGATCAGCTTGTCCAACAAGTCATCAGGGAGAAGTTCAGTCATTGTACAGTGTTGACCATTGCACATCGACTAAACACTATCATGGATTACGATAGGGTACTGGTGCTTGACCGTGGTCACGTGGTAGAATACGATAAACCAGAAGTACTTGCTTCTAAGACCGATGGGGTTTTTGCTAAGCTGGTACAAAGTCAGCAGGAAAGTGATGTCCTGTAATGTTATGTTAAAAGCAGAACATTTTAATTATGGATTGAAAATCGAACTTTTAAGGTTTTAAAGAAAATTCATATTTTATATATCATTAAGCAACAAGCAACAATTTGTCGACCTGTGGTGTAAGGAATTATTTTGAAAATGAATGATTTTGCTAAATAATAAACATCCAATATATTCAAAAATAGACTGGTTTGGCCTTTTTGATAWGCTATTAGAGCTTMTATTGCATATTGAGCTTCACGCATCCCCCACTTGCGCTCTACCCCCAGCATACAATTGCCTCCAAGAGTTAGAAAGCACTCTCAAACGTTATATAAGCAACTGACCTTACAAATATTGTTCCATTATGTACGGAATAGTCACAATGGACCAGGTGAGTGACCTGGGAACGAACGTCCTAACGGCTGCGAGAGGAGACTATCACAATGTAGACTAATTTTTTTAATTTTTAAGTAGATGAGGGATCGTGCAATGAGTCAATAACCAGGGGGCAAATATGCGAACTTCCTTATATCTCATAACTTTGTTAACATTTTGAAATCATATTGTGTTTTATGCTGGTGCTCAAGCGAACCCTACCCCTCCCCTCCCTACCCACACCAGTCAAAAGATTCTTTGTTTGATTAGTAGAGTTTGATTATTCAGTCATTTTTTTAAATAKATTAAATATGCCTAATATTTTACTGTTATCTCTAGTTTTGAAGTTGTATTGCCCATCTTGGCAGAACTTGTCAGACATGGACTTTACAGTTGCAATGTAATGCCAATGCCCGGTCTTAGAGTGAACGCACTTAATCCGTGCAACTGTACAAAATCTACGTAGTTCTAATTTGAACTAAAAGTGGACCTGAAGCAAGATGGTACTGAATGCTTCATTTGTATCAATTCAATTAATTTGCGTATCGCATGCACGATTTACTAAATACACCTAAAATCACTATTTAGTTTGTACAGTTGCACGGATTAAGTGCGATCACTCTACACCGTGTTATTCTAGTTAGCCTGTTGTTGTCATTCATCAGTGCTACATCTAAATAAATACTTTACATGCGTATTCATCAATAAAACAATACGTGGTCACTTGGAAAAACACTTCCTCGCAGCGCCCACTGTACTGGTGTGATTGATTGAAAACTCAAAGATAAAATTTGTATCTCTACTTGCCGAATCGCCTATGTACTAATTTCCCGTATGTTGAAACATGTTAGAGTACAAACACTAAAACTGTGCAACATAAATACCACTAAATACTGCTAAATTATACTAATTCTATTGTTTTCTATTGTTTAATTAACACTATTTTGTAGTAAATAGTGGAAAGTGTTGCACACATTTAATGTTTGTACTCTAAACCATGTAAAGAGAAACTTTTAAATCTTCCTGCATCAGTCGAGTAGCCACGCATGCGCTTTTTGATTACCTTGCGCTTATTTTTGCTTGATTGCCTCCAACTATTCAACAACATCAACATTCATTAGACAAATTTAAAGCAGTTATTCAGTAAAGCGTCACAATAGCTATCTGAGCAATCCAAATGTACATCATGTTGATGCTGCTGCTAAAAGCTCAATGAAAACATKAACAGCCATGAAGACGAAAGCAAATCCAAAAGAAAACGCTAACATACTATCCCGTTTATTTATCTGCTGGTTATACAGTTTACTAAGACTTGGCAGTCAACGACAACTAACACAAGATGACCTGTTTGAATTGTCCGACGAAGATCAAGCAGAATACATTTTACAAGATTTTGAAGAAGTTTGGCAAGAWGAGATCATCTCTGCTGAACGCCGTGGCAAACAACCACGACTGTGGAAAGCAATGCTCCGGTTCTTTCCMTGGAGTGACTATTTCTGGTTAGTGTTCTGGAGGACTTTAGAAACACTCAGTGTTTATTGTAAGCCTGTGATATTATGGTTCTTTCTGAAGACGTTACAAGAACGTAAATCTATAGAAAACACGCATCGTCTTCTTGCTGCTGGAGTGGTTGGTATTGCAGTGATATCTTTCATGTATACCTTTAAGCATCAAAACAATATGATTTCAAAGATGATGGGAATGCGACTCACTATCGCTTGTACTGGGTTAATACACAAAAAGGTACGAAACAAAGGTTTTCTTTAAACTTTCTATTACTAACAACTCTTGATTAATGACGATATTCTTAATTGAGGTTTGGATGTTGAGCCAAGTGAAACGAGTTATTATTTTTTTCATTCAGTAAAAAGAAATAATTCATTTTTTAGTGTGCTTTTGGTATGCACACAATTTATATCAGTCACGTTTTTTTATAAATCAATAAATCATTTTTCACTATAATCAAAATTAAAGAATCGTAAATATTGCATAATTAAGATAGTGGTTCTCCTCGGATAACCATGCTGTTTTGAACTAAATTAGCAATTTTGATGTGCTTTAAGATATGATATCAAGCGCGACATGCTTTAACCAACCCAAACACGAGTGTATTTTAAGTCGTAAAACCAACAATTGACATGTTGGAACACGATGTTCTCTATTTATTTAAAGTGATAAATATTCAGGAAATCTAGTTGTAGGTTTCCATAGTGAAAATTTCACAAGGTTTTATTGAGGTGGCCACGCAATGACGTGGTTTGCCTATATGCATGACCGAATCAGAATAATTATAGGAGACTATCATTCTTTAAAATACTTAAACATTTCATGATAAAAAATAGTGAATTTTAGAAAATGAGCTTTTCGAAACAGACGAATTTCTATAGTTGTTTTTTGGATAATTTGATTACTAATTCGATTATTCTAATATTCTTGATGAGGTACTTTTAGAACATTTTGTTCATCAAAAATCTTGATAATACATATGGCATTAACAGATCATCATTCCAATTTTCTACAGATCTTGAAATCAAGCCGTGTCCATCTTTCCAATGATAAACCAGGTCACGTGTTCAACTTGGTGTCCAATGACATCCCACGAATGGGAGACATCGTTCATAATGTACAGTACTGCACATCACTGATCATTGCAGCTCCAATCACCTTTGCCTTGCTCTGCATTCTCATTGGATGGCAAGCGATGTCTGGAGCTTTCTTTGTCATCATTTGCGGGATTTCACAAATTTTCATGTCCAAGGGTTTTGCGTATTACCGACTTCTTCAAGCATCTGCAACAGATCAACGTCTCTCATCTGTCAACGAGATCATCAAAGGCATACGAACCGTTAAGATGCACGCTTGGGAGTGGAGCTATTTGGACATCATTAGGGGATTTAGGAGGTAATCATGA